AAACGCCAGTGATGATGCATTCACCCCATCTAACTTCCACTGTACTGAGGGATCCAAAGAAAATGAGGCCAGAGGACAGCTTCACAGCCACGTTCACCATGCCAGCAGAGCAGCATCCCCATCAGCCTGTGCCTCCTCAGCAGCAGCAGCCACACCCTCAACACCAGACTACCATTGATTACAAGTAAAAAATATGTGTATTACATTATTGCATACATGTCTGCAGAGGTCTTAGTTGCAGTACAGTATCTAAAGCCACTTTTTTTTAAAACTGTGGGAATTATGAAGTAATGAAGCCTGTTCCACAGTACCCAGGTTACTTGGATGCTGACACAAAGGCAACAAGCTGAAGCCCGTCAGCAGCAAGAGCGGGTTAGCATGCACTACGCCAAGATGAGGAACCACATGCAGCAAGCAATGTAAGAAGTTCAGCACTTAACTGTTTTTGGCCGAACTTTGAGCCAATAAAGAGTCTGACAAAAAGCATTTTTCTGACGTGTTATTTTTTTGTTACGCATCACAGTCGTCGAGGCTCTGGGCTCATGGAGGATGATGAGGAGCCAATAGTGGAGGATGTGATGATGTCATCTGAAGACCGCTTGGAAGATATCAATGAGGGCATGGATTTTGACACAATGGACATCGATTTGGTAATTAAAAAAACAAACAAACAATAGTCTAATTTTGTCTAGATGCATGTTTAATAATTCCAGTAAGGAAATCCTAGGAAATTGATTCCGCTGATTTGGACGTGGCATTTTCAGCGGGAGATGAGTAATGAAACGTTTCTCCCACTGAAAATGCAGCATCCAGATGAACTGAACCAAATTTCCGAGATAATCTGAATCCTGCATTTCTAGCAGACTAAGCTGGTCATACCAGTCCTTCCAATAAATAAATAATAAAAGCAAATGTTGATGTTAAAATTAATAATTTTTTAACTGTATATATTTTTTTCATCTTGTGGAGTATTCTTCTAACTGAGTTGTTATCTTTCAGCCGGCATCAAAGAATCGCAGAGAAAGAACCGAACTGAAGCCAGATTACTTTGATCCATCTTCCATCATGGATGATTCGGTAGGAGTATTCCACTTCTTATAATAATTGATTGATTGATTGATCATACTTTATTCATCCCGAGGGAAATGGGTTAAGGCTGCCAGCTGTGCCAGCGCCGTCTTACCCTTCCGACCATACATACATTACACAAACATCACATGGGGAAGACAGGTCAGAGGTGTATAACATGGAAAAAGCACAACATGAGGAAAGATAAGGAGAACAAAAATAACTCCCCCCAGAATGAGCTCCAACAGGGAGATCAGTTTGAGAACAGAAAAAAACACCTCTGCACATAGCACAGGAAAAAACTCTTAATACACCAAAGAAACACATGACAAGCAACAGGGATGGGTAAAGGGTGAGAGACAGCCAGTGTAGACAGTGCATCCGGGCCAGCAGCATAAGCGCTGGTCTCCTTGATCCACCGTCAGTATCGGAGGGGAATAAGCGTAGAAGGCGTTTGGAGGGGGGATGAGTGTACATCTGCATGTGCATATATGTCTGTGTGCATGTGTGTGTGTATGTGTCCACAGTTCAGCTGAGACAGTGTCCTTTGCCCTGCCAGGCTAAGTAAACAGTCTTCCAGCCAACCCAGGTGGCCTTGTATAGAATGGGAAGAACAGTCTAAACACAGTCCGTATCAGGGTGTTGTTGTTCAGCTCCAGCCTTGAGACTGCAGCTGGCGCCGAAGGGGTATCCGCATGAAGTGA